GACTACAGACCTCGTGACTCGATTTGACAGCAGCAGCAACGACCCCAGAGAGGACAAGGAGTAGAGATGCACACACACATGCAGCCAGGTCAGGGGTAAAGGGTGCTTCCCTCTTTTGCAGCGATCGTCGATGAAGACTCCTCGTCGCTCCGCACTCCACGCTCCAGGTATCACTTCTGCCCCTTCCTCTTCGGCCTACTCCTCTCCCATATCCCTATCCACCTGTTCTTCCACCATCGCCAGCATCATCAACAAGCTAGCGTTCTCTTCTCCTTCTCGCCGGACTTACTCAGGCCAGCGCAGCGAGTACAACAAGTATCTGCTCCGATGCCAGAATTGCAAGGAACCTGACTGTTCACAGCTTGCTCGAGAGCATCAAATCGCATGCATAGATGTCATCACACGCACAAAGTGGCCTCACACAAAACCAGATTGAGACGAGATAAGAACCAAGTAGCACAGCTTATATTGTCAATGTCACTTGATACAAAGAGTATCATGAGTTCCAGAGCTCAGCGCCAACAAGAGGTAAGTCTCCCTCGTCATACAACAGCATGGAACCTGCCTCAGCCAGCGTCCTCCTTCAGATCACAGGTGTGGCGCCAACAGGTAAATGTTCACCATATCCAGACTCACTCCCTGCTTTTCTCTCTTGCTCGCTCTCAATAACTCTGTCTTGGTTCTCTTCCCTACACTATGCATGCACACTCTCATCTACGAAGATCTACTCTGAATGTCACTCACTGATACACCACTACTGACTAACCCTGCTACTACTAACATAGACCGCAGCTATGGCTTCCCTGCAGCCAGCGCCCAGCTCATTTCCTCTCTGGCGCAGCTTCTTCTTCAGCGCCCAACTCCCTGCACTATAGCGCACAAGTGCCTCAGCACTTCGACGCATCAATGCCTCTGGGAATCTGCCTGTGGGGGAGGCTGCCTCGTTCCTTTCCCAGTCCCAGCCTCTGTGTATGTGTCACAAATCCTTTTCCTTCAGGGGTTGCTGCTGCTGCGGCCTTTAGGCCTTGATTTTGGACTCCCAATCTGAATCTAGACTTTCTTTCTGATTCGAATAAGGACTGGAACTTGGACAGACACACCCAATGCACGAGCAGACACTCCTGCACGAACAGACACATTGACTGCACGTACAGACACATCCCTTGTTTGAATAGAAATGACTTGAAATGCCCCTGGCAAACAGATGTGACCTCCAAATCTAAACATGGTGACTGTTCGTCCAGGGCTCAACCATGACCTTTGACATTGTCTTTACTTTAGCCAGGATGTGACCTTTGACCCAGAGAACATGTCTTTTGATCTGCTTTCACGAATTGGGTTCTGGGCGAGGGACCCCCATATGCTGCTTTTGTCAAACAGGGGCTGAATCGGGTAAAGCCCTTTCTTAAATGATCTATCTGAGTTGGTGGTGGTTCACTCTGTGTCTATGGTGGTGGAGTACGCACGCAGGGCTACGCTGTTGCGCTTAAGCTCGGAAGGAAGATTTTGACGCATCAGTGGGCGTTCATCCCTCAATCAGTGAGGAGTTTACGCTTATGAGGGTGACAAAGCGCTCTGACGGAAACCGTACAAGCCAGCATGTGTATAGAACGGAGCTGCAGCCACACATGGATCAGGCACAGTATCTAAGATTGAAGGCTACAGTTCACAGTTCTATTGCCATAACGGAGAGGCGCTGAAATGAAAGACGATCAGCTTCCGGTTGTGAGCAAGTCAAATCGCCAGTCAACATCGCATAGCCGTGCCATGCATCTGAAATCACCTGACAATTTCCAATCGGACGCAAAAGCTGCCAGGCAACGTGCGCACCTCAAAAACAACCCTTTTTGTGTGTTTCTCCCTTACAGGTCAGCAGAACCACATAGACGGCACAAGAAGTAATCAAACGGCACACCAAGTCTTTGATCCATGTAACAAGATAACACAGGGCTTCTTGATCAACACAATTACGACAGCATGATGGTCAGGCCCGGCTAGAGGGTATGAACCTCGCCATAGCCATGACCAGGTTCATGCCCTTCGAGCACGACTATAGCACATTGGAGCGGTCTAGCCTTAACAGTTGCCCACTCACTTAGGTTTGCCGAACTTCTCGGCCCTTCATTTTTCAAAAAGGTCTCCGAGACGGTGAGTTTCCCACCTCTGAAGACGTATCTTTTTGCGATACTGGCATCTTGAGCTGTTTGCAGTGACTTGCAAGGTTTTACCACTACAAAGTGTAGCAGAGCCAGCCAGTCAAAAAATACAGCACAGTTGCCACTCCTACAGTCCTCCCCCAAACAAAACGCACATATGTACCATAACTTTCCCTGGAAAAGTTGATTTCTTGAAGTCGCCGCCTGAAATCCAAATAGTACACGTTCAAATAATACGCACGTATGTTCTGCTCGAATATAACACACGTGTTCTATTCGAACGCACAGGTGTTCTATTCAAACAGAACATACGGAATGTTGTGCTCATTTTCAAAAACGTGTGCCCTGCAGTGCTCCTGCTCTCTCTCTCTCTCTCTCTCTCTCTCTCTCTCTCTCTCTCTAAGGCGAGCGTGCCCGTCTGCAGTGCCACACTCATATTAGAGTGCTGTGCAGTGTGCCCCCTCTCTCTCTCCCTCGCTGGGCCAAGATGGGGATCCAAGATGCATACTGTTCAAATGTAACTCTCAGCAAGTAGCCTGGCCGACTTTTCTACTGGTACGTACAGTTGGGCCCTTGCTCCACTAATCTCCACGCTCACAATAGACAAATGCATGTGTCCATTTTCTGGTAAAATATCCATTCAGATTTTTTTATTTTTTTACGTTTTTAATATTTGGTGAGTAGTGGAGAGAGAGCCTGGTATCGGGCTGTGTTTTTTTTTGTTTTTTTTTTCCGCTTTCGACCATTTCTCGATTCATGCAAAGGTATCGACATATATTGGATTTTTGGGGGGGGGGCTTTTCCGAAGTTAGTGCCTAAAATCCGTAGCATTACGCACGTGCGTTGTATACGAATACAACGCACCCCGTGCGTTGTATTCATATACAACGCACGTGCGTTTTGTTCGGGGGTAGACTAGCCAGGAACATCATGCCAAGCTGACAACATTCACCCTGTCAATAGGCAATGTAGGGTACTCTCTCTCACAAACACACACACACACACACACACACACACACACAAAAGGCGCTGCAAGCAAGAGATGGCAATATAACAGTTTAGCATGCTTCTTGTTGTTTGCTACTGATTCCATNAAAGGCGCTGCAAGCAAGAGATGGCAATATAACAGTTTAGCATGCTTCTTGTTGTTTGCTACTGATTCCATTTAGGATCTCTCTCTCTCTCTCTCTCTCTCTCTCTCTCTCTCTCTCTCTCTCACACACACACACACACACACAAAAGGCTCTGCAAGCAAGAGATGGCAATATAACAGTTTAGCATGCTTCTTGTTGTTTGCTACTAATTCGATTTAGAATATACTCATGTAGGTGGTGGCGGTGCCAGTTAACAAAACACCCACACACGGACATTTTAGGATGATACAGTGAGCACGCAATAATGAGAGTAAACCTCACAATACCGTCTCTCATCCAAGCAAATGATACCACCAATTGCGTTCAGAATAGCTCAAGTTTTGCTGTTCAGACCTTTACCGCATCCCAAATTCTGCTCCAGTAAAATTGAAGTATGTTCATTGCAGCTCGGCTCTTTTCAAGGTTGTTTTTGCCCACAGGCGGCTCCTTCAAAATCATTCACGTTCATTCCGCGCCCATGTCCATCAAAGCCATTCACCATTTGGTCGCAGACTGCTTTCTGCACCTCAGCACAAGACCAGCAGATCAGAATCTCCGATGGTAGCAAACTCCTCACAACTCGTACCTCCATAGCGTCTTCCCACGAACATAACGCACCATGATAATGATTTTATCAAAGCTATATTTCCGGTCTAGGGCAGCCAATAAAAGGGGGCGTTTTGTTCCGGGCCAGCAGCCGAAGCAAATCCGCGGGTCGGACCTAACATTAACAGTCGGGAGGACTGCTGGCGCCAGGTGAATCCCACCCCGCAGTTATTCACATGGATTCAGAGCGGGATGTAGTGCTGCTCACACGGCAGATGTGCTACTTCGATTCTGTCTGTGCAAAGCTGCAACCCAGCTCTGACAAATGAAGAACCCAAGACTACAACGTTGTGCTGTATACCCGATGACATTTTGTCCCTCCAAGGCTGCCGGTCTTCACCTCATGTGCGTAACCTCACTCCCTGCGCGTACTATGTATGATATTATGAAAACCCATTACGAAAGAAGAAGAATACGACAGACATGCCCGAGAGCAGGGGAACAGGTGAGGAGTGCAGCAGGCTGTTCTCTATTTCCGCGAAGAGCCAACCAGTTTGGACATCAAAAAGGGAATGTTTTTAAAAAACCGCATCATCTTGGATTGAAGAGAGGGATGCATGCTGCCGATGAGATCACCGTGGAAAAACAACTCCGTCATTGCCAACATAACGAAAACGAGAACGAATGAACGGAGGGTAGCGAAGGCAACTGATGGTGGAAATGGGAACGAGAAGCAATGAAAATGAGAACGAAGGAACGGAGGAGGGTAGCGAAGGCAACTGATGGTGGAAATGGGAACGAGAAGCAATGAAAATGAGAACGAAGGAACGGAGGAGGATAGCGAAGGCAACTGATGGTGGAAATGGGAACGAGAGAAGCTAGTGATGAAGTGACACGCTGCTGGTGAGAAAGAAGATACTGGGAATAAAGGTCTCCGCTCAGATACGTTAATAAAAAAAAGAATCACCAGCATAATAACCGCTATGTACGGCGAGTGAATTATTCGACGACCGTTAGTAAGCTAGACTGTTCATTGCACTTCTTCAGTACACAACAACGAAGAAAACCCTAGTTTATGTTCAAGAAGAGGATTCCACAGGGCGGAAGCTGCACAGACAATGCCCAGGAGGACAGTAGATTACCCACGATGAGAATGGATAAAGATGACTAGGGATACTATTCATTAAGACAACGAAGATAGATAGAGGAAGTGAATAATATTAGAAAAAGGAGTGGCGAAAGAACGAACACATGAAATAGGAAGTGGGAAAACACTAAACCACAGAGGAACCCAAGCGAGCGGAAAAATAGAGAGAACGCAGCAAAGAACACCCACCCACCAACTTCTAGAAGGCCTTTGAACGAAGAGGGATTAACGACGGAGAACACACGCCAGCCAAGTCACAGGAACAACTTGAAACAGGAATTAGCGAGATTCTCACATAATTCACTGTGCTCCCCGCTTCATAGCACAAAAACAGCAGGCAGACGACCACGGCTGAAGGAGAATAGAATCACAACGGACGGAATGAAGTATACCGTCGATCGCAAGTCACATAAGTATACCGTCGATCACAAGTCAAATACGTGGAAGAAGAAAAATACTAAGATTCCGATCGCATTTGTCAAACCACCAACTGTCACAAGATGTTTCAGTGCAACCACAAAAAGCTCAATGCCAACGCATTACCCTCATCATCCGCATCGGATTCGACTTTCGAAACCCTAGTATGTTCTCATTCGCATCGGATTCGACTTTCGAAAACCTAGTACAATCTCCCACTTCTGTATCTACGCCCGACACGCCTTCTTTCCCGTCCGGTCACTACTCTCCGCCAGTTCCGTCATTCACAAGCCTTCCAACACCCTCCCTGCTACCTGGCTTGTGTTGTCTCTAGCACACCCCGACAGGACATACTTCAGCATTCGCTCCTTCCTGCCACGTATTATCTCAAGAGCGCGCCGACATTCCACATGCCTTCCCTTCATCCTCAACCGCCTATTTCTCGTTCATCGTATTCATAATATTCTCATACAAGTAACCTCATTCCACAACCACAACAACATAAACTCCACTGCAACGGATCAATCGGCATACGAGCGATGAAAGAAAACCGACACATTCCCCAGAAATTTAGCTACAATCGAACAGTCGAAAAACAAGAGCACATGAATACCCTCCCATATTCATTGCATAACGTCTGGTTAGCACATGAATCCCCTCCCATCTTCAAGCTGCTTACCTCACTCGAAATATACACACGAAACCACCAGGCATACCTAAAGCTGTACAAAGGGACGTCACGGTACGAGCACCCTCGGAGAGAAGACAGATGTCTAAACAACATTGGTGGTGTATAAATACACCATTGAAAAGAGCCAACTCACCCTCAGGCTGGCCAAATCTCAAGTGAGAGCATCTTAGGCACGCTCTCCCCTAATACGCCTCGCCAGCTGGATGTCCTTTGGCATAATGGTCACCCTTTTCGCATGGATGGCACACAGGTTGGTATCTTCGAAAAGACCAACCAGATAAGCTTCACTAGCCTCTTGAAGTGCAAGCACAGCCGAGCTCTGGAAACGGAGATCGGTCTTGAAGTCCTGCGCAATCTCCCTTACCAACCGCTGGAACGGCAATTTTCTGATCAACAACTCAGTCGACTTCTGGTACTTGCGGATCTCACGGAGTGCAACCGTTCCGGGGCGATACCTGTGCGGCTTCTTCACTCCACCGGTGGCAGGGGCCGACTTGCGTGCCGCCTTAGTGGCCAGCTGCTTCCGAGGGGCCTTGCCCCCAGTAGACTTCCTAGCCGTCTGCTTCGTGCGAGCCATTATCGACTATGGGGCAGGCAGGTGACGAGGAGAGAAAACAGCCAAGGAAGGAAGAACCGAAGACGAAAGACGATCTTAGCAAGAGCGTTATCCCGCAAGCAAGCTTCCAATAGACAGATCACAGACTGGTACACAGACGACGGGCGGCTATTATATACCGAGTGCGAGAGGTGAACCAACGTCTGCCCGCCGTCAGGCCGAGGATGGATTGAGCAGTTGGCGGGAGTGGCGTGGCGGGAGGCGAAATTTTCACAAATCGTTCAAATGTTTCCACCCGCGGCCTGGGCCTGCTCCCGCGTGCGCGCGAGGGCAGGAGCAGGCGGACCGCAGGCTTCAAGGACGTCCGCGATCCCGACAGGCGGCGAACAACAGACCTGTGAAGTGTAGGGCGGCGGTGGCTTGCACGAAACTGGTCAGCATCCCGTCCCGGCGAAGTACGCGACTACATGTAGTCCAAAAGTAACAGAGGGCACGCTCACACTAGGTACCCAAATTCCCAAAAAAATGGGAAAATGGGAACGGCCGTTTTGAGGAAATGTGGCCCTGGCCGGTCACACCGTGTTCCCAACACGCTAAAGACAAGGTCGCGACATCGCTCTCTGCGAGGTGCTTGTGGAGGGCGCCGGTCACACGGTGGTACCTCAAATGGGAAATGCAATTGTTCAGTTTTTACAACCTGTTTTTTCCTCTTTTTTTTTTTGGGTCGTTACTGCTGGCAACGGGTGTCCATTCGAACCTCTCTGCTCGTGCTCCGCGCGTCTGACCGCTCCGTGCGTGCACCCATTTCCCCAAATTTCCTTTTCTTCAATTGATAGGCCGCTAATAT